ACAAGACACATTTAAGCATTACCAAAGAAATTGCGGGGTTAGATGGGAGGTGGAAGGAATAAGAACATTACCAGGATAAGGGAAACATACACTGCCTAGCCAATAAAAAAAACTTGCACACTCTAATATTTTGTTGGACCACCTTTAGCTTTTAGCTTTCACCAAGATCTTGTAGTGATGATGGCAGAGTCAGACCACTCTCTCTTTGCTACCGTATCTCTATCCTGTCCCACAGGGTCTCTTACCGTCTCCTCCTTCTCCTTCTCTTTTTTCCCTTTTTTTTATCAACCATCTTCCTTTCCTGCCCCACTGGCACTCTTTCTTTTTTCCACTCTTGCTCCTCTATTTCCCTGTCCCCATCGCCTCTCTTTCTTTTTTCCTTTGCCACTCACCCCACCCTTTCTCTCTTTTGCTCTCCACCTCACCTTCACTCCATCTCTTCTTCCTTATCTTCTCTACCGTTTGTTTTTCTTTCATTTTTTTTCTCTCACTCTTTCTCTCTCTTACTCTTACTCTTACTCTTTCTCTCTCTCTCTCTCTCTCACACTCTCTTTCTCTCTCTCTTGTTGCCTCTGCTCTATCTTTTTGTAACTCTTCCTTTTTTGTTCTCTCCTCTTACACTCCTTGTTGTTGTCCCCCTCTTTTCTTTCTGAATCATCACTTGTGCCCTTTGCGTTGTGCAGGGGATTGGTACCAATTGAATCTGATGGCTGGTTGTAACTGGTATAACCGAAGGAGATTCTCCACCATAGCACGTCTTCCCTTTTCCTATGGAGAAAAAGACTAGTTTTCACTACACTTGTGTTGCTTTCTTCTGTCACTTAAAACTGTAAGAATAGTATTCAAATCCCAGTGCCACTCAGCTCATTCAAGGACAGGATGGTGTTTCACCATCATAATTCTTGGTCAACTATCTGGCCAACTGTGGCCACCCATAGACTCGAGACGAAACCATTTCATCACTAACATGCAAGGGGCCCTTCACTGGGTGGTGAGACTTTAAAGGGCCTTTTTTATTATTTCCTCTTTCTTCCTTGCTCACTCTCTTTTTATCTGTTTTCCTGATACAGACATAATTCTCAGTTATGCTATTCCTGCCTTGTTCGGAAACGAGTATTTATGGCCTCTCGTTACGTTGGCTAAATTAGAGGGCTGCATATCCTCCCCAGCACGTGTTGGGTGGTTAGAGGACACGGGATCTGATCTTTGGCCAGAGGCTTGGTTAGTAGCATCAGTGTCAGCTAAATTTTACTTAGATTGGACCAAAGTCACGGCCTGTGTCCTTTATCCAAACCACACGGAGAGGCCTTTCCATCAGCCGGCTTTTTGCTTTGTGCTTCAAACCCATTAACGCTCCTTTAAATCCCCCACCCTTCCCCCCACATCTGCAATTACATTAAAATTATATTTGGTAGCTTATTTTCCATTTTGGTCATCCTCTGTTTTGTTTTTCTTTTCAACTGGATATCACTGAAAAATTGAGTTGCCATACAAAACTGCTTAAAGGGACAGTGAACCTAAAGTTTTATTTGGCTCATACAAAAGCGTGAGATGTAGGTTAAAGTAGATCTAAAACTTAACTGAACGATGTTTGCTAAAGTACTGTGTATCATAAACGGTTACCTTTTTTGGTTTTTTTTACTTGCTATTTTCTATCATTAGTTTCTACTTTTTTTTATTACTTGGTTCTCTGGCCACCCATAAAATCTGGGTACAAAGCCTTCTAAACCCTCAAAACAATCTTCATCAGCATGAAGTGCGCTTCCAAGTTCCAAAGTAGGGATGGACATTTGTTAGTCTTTGCGGTATTTTGCCTTCCAGGTTCTTAGGTGCAGGCAGTGATATTTCAGAGATACAGATTGAACCTTTGCCTTCTACTCCCTCTCCAGCTCCTCTTTTCCAACCTTCCTCTGTCACCGTGCAGATTTGCAGATCTTCATTTAGCTCTTTGTGGTCTTTTGGACCAAGGTGTCAATGAGCCAGTTCCTGGAGCAGAAAGTTTTAGGAGTTTTGCTCCATCCTGGTCACTCTTCTCTTTCCCAGACATCCACCTCTTTTGGGCCCTGTAAGAACACAATTTTTGCATGATATCTACTAGATCTGCCATTACCTTGCTTCTCCAGGGGGATCTTTTAGCTTCTGTGGTCATGAAGCTTACAAGCCTGTACCTACAGGTCCCCATCTTTTCAGTGCTGTGATTTTTCAATTTTGCCCTTGCACCCCCAAATTTTCACTAGGACGCTGGCTCCAGTGTTAGCCCTATTGCTTTGCTGGACAATGTCTCTTTTGATTGTCCAAATGTCACAGTGATTCAGTTGAATCCTGATTGTTCAACAATTGTTGTTGGAATTATCCTCAATTCTGAAATTGCCCACTTCTTATTTGTGGCACCACACTCGGTAGTCGTGAGACAACTTGGCCATCCTTCTGAGTCGCCTGATTTGTCTGCCTCTGAGGGCCAGGTAGCCTGTCTGGTGGATCAGTCTTTCATTTCCGAAGTTGGGAACTCCTTACCTCTCACCTTCTGGAAGATCATATCATTGGGTGCCAGCCTTATGGGCTAGGGAAGAGGCAAGGACAGCCTGCCGGTGCAAGGGTCTTGATGGTCGGAGAATTTTAATCTCCTAGTTCATATTCTGTCATTTCAGGAAATATGGTTGTGTCTTCATCGCTGAATCATCTCCTTTGAAGGTCACCTAATCTGGATCCATTTGGAAAAAATACCATGGCAGTGGGGATGCCTTAACCATCAAAGGATGTACAGAAAGTCTTGCTGCAGCAAGAGAGGTAGTTTGGATCTTGGTCTGGGCAGAACTTCATGTTCTAGTCTTGTTCGCTATGTCTACACCCCAAGTGCATTCCAGGGCCTGTGTTGCAGGTGGAGGATGCTGATTGTGGACCCCCTGATACACTGGTTTAACCACAGGCTGGACAGGTTTGTCTCTGGAATCCTCTAGTGGTAGCTCTGTATATTCTATGGGATCTATAAACCCGGATCTAGGCCTTTCCTTCTCTAACCCTAGAAGGCTTTCTGGTGATTCTCTTTGTTCTGGATTGACCCAGGCGAATATACTTTGCCGACCTGGTGAGGCTCACTGGTTCTCAGCGGGCTTAACATATTGTTGGATTTCAGAAGTAATCCTAAATCTGTGATTCTTATGGTGTTCAAAGTTAGGAAGGCTCACATTGAACATCCTTCTTACAGATAGATTGGGCCAGAGCTGGACTCTCAGCACTGTCCAGTCTTTCCTTACTGTTTTTGTTTAAGATTGCTAACCTCCCATCCCTTGGCTAAGACCTTGGATACAGAGTTTTCCATTTAACTTCCCTTGTTTGTTCCTTGTGACTCCATTGGATGAAGATTTGGCTCTCTGCATTTTCAGGAACTGCCCTATTTCTTTCTCTAATGCACTCTCAAAGGGTTCTTTCCACAGTTTTTGCCTCTGTGAATGTCTGACCTGAAAGATTTTTCATATAATGAACTGCGTGTTCTTTTTTGGGTGAGATTAATGGGATTAGGTGAGTTGAAACCTAGGCCTTTTTTTCTGACCTAGGGCAGTTTCCGAACCTCTCCTTGTCCAGAACATCATACTTCGGTTCCTTTGTCTGGCTCCAGTTCTCTGAGAGGAACTGTTCTTCCTTGTTTGACTGTGATTCAGGCTGTGAGCCTTTTATCTCTCAGCTACTGGTTTTTCGTTACACCATTCTGGGTGGTTCAGGCAATTTAGCTTCCAAGGTTATAGTCTTAAGAATCAGTTTCCTTATTTCCCTGGTGATCATGCCATGAAGTACCTTGTTTAGGCACTTCCTGTTATAGGGTGACAATGCGTTCTCACCCTGTCACATGGGATGGATAGAGACTACAAGTGGCCATGCTAATGCACATTATGCAGACATGGCCCACTGTTAGCATCAGGAATCCTGCCATGGGAAATGCAATGAAGCCATTGCGGAGTGCATGTAGACAGGAATACAAAGTTATTAAACATATATTAATTGTTTGTAATACACAATGCAGAGATAAACTAAATGTCATATACTTTCATGTGTATCGTTCTATATTGTCATATTTTCTGTATGTTTTTTTCTTTCAGGCAAGTAAAAGATCAGAATAAAAAGGTTGCGACATTAAAGCACAAGGAGCAAGTAGAGAAGAAGAAGAACGCACAGCTTTTCGAGGAGGCGCGAAGGAGGGAGGACAATCTGACCGACAGCTCGCAGCACCTTCAGGTAGCATCCAGATATATCTGCGGCAGAATCTTGCATGGTGTCTTGTCTGTTGGCGCTGATGAAATTACTTCCGTATAGGTATGTGTGGAAGGTACAAGGTGATTGTAGGATTCTCCATTTCACTCAGATTTCCCGTCGTTTTCTTTATGTGCATTGATGATGACCGTTATATTGAATAGATCACATGAAATGTCTTGCTGCACCCATGTAATGTTGTGGTGTGCTTTGATATCTTGATTTACAATTGTAATGGATGTTTCTTCAGTGGTGTCTGGGGTGGTCGATTTTATGTATTTCTTTGTTTCTAATCATTTTTTAACGATCAAATGAAAAAAAGGCATGTAAATTGACACAGGTAGGGCAGAGGCTGAACCAAAGTTTGTCATTTAGAACTTGTGGCCAGCTTTACCAGCTGCAAGTTTAACCATGAATTGCCGTTTTTAAAGTGAATTCCCAGCTAAAACCAAAGTTGTGGATCAAGTAGGGGAAGCGGTAGATTCTCCGTTTGGTTTTTAGTGCTGTCTGGGTCTCCATTGGTATGATTTATGTTATACCCCCTCCCCACTTCAATAAAAAAAAAAGTTTTTACCAGACTCCTACTTTATCCGCAAACGCTGCAGTGCCGTCCGTCCGTTTTTTTACTACAGGCGGACGGCAAGTGGTTAAACTGCCCATTGACACCGATTGCATTGCTATAATAAATAGGGATTTTTATGCTGGAGACTTTAGCCAACCAATGTTGGGTTTGGGGTCAGTTCGCAAAAAAAATTCCCAGTTTTAGACTCTGATGGTCTTTGAGGTTTTGGGTGGAATTAATGGTACGATATTATAATACCTCGGAAAATAAGATTATCATGTTCCCGTAAAGGACATCTGCTCTTCTGGCCCAACACACACCCTATTCTGTGCCGCCAGAAAGACGAGGGGAGGGGACGTGGCATCGATGAAGCCCAGCCCGCGGCCTTATGACGCCGTTCTGTGTCCAATATGTTTGCAGGTCCCAAGTTAGGTAATCTTATTGCTGCTTCTGAAATTTGACTCCCTCACCCCCCCTCTTTTAAAGGGACACTCCACCCACAAATGTTATTTCAGCATTTGGTGAATAATGGAGAGTTGACCTTCCTGACAGTCTCTTCTATTTATCATTCTATTGGTTACATTTCTGTGGTGAATTCCCTGATCTATACACATTCTGTGCCCAGTATATAATGTCCCCACCATCCCTGCTAAATGTATATTCATTGATCATGGAGAATGCCACAGGAGGGATGAAAACACCCCAAGGGGGGTGGGAGTGCCTAAACCTTCAAAGTGGCTAGGCATAGAATCAGTAAATGTGGCTGTGAGGTTGATGTAGCCCCCAAAGCTTATTAGAAACCACATTGTAGATAGATGCCGATGAGTCAAGTCAACTACTAGCATCAGATATCTTTCAAGGATGCCACTCAGTCCCCACCACGTCAAGGTATAGCAAGAGCATTTTCATCCCTCCAGTCTCCATGATGTGACACCCCACTATATCACCCTTACAAGAAGTGAGGGGAATCTTCCCAATGGAGATACAACCATCAGTAAAAACCCATTAGGGACTTTAAGACTTTTCTATTATATCTTAAACTAAAAAAAAGATGGGTTTTAAGAAAGAGAGGGTTTTCTATATCATTCATACCTGTTGTCCACAGTGAGGCTTGTTACATTTTTGTTTGATCCTTTAAGAAGATTTATGGGGGAAGAGTGAATTACACTATTTAATTAGAGCCGGCGTGTGACACTGAAGCTGTCACATGTTGGCTCTATTGATCAGGGACTGTGCGATGACATACCGCCGATCGCTCAGTTCCCGATCATCTCCCTGCAGAGAGCGGTGACTGCCAGTCACCGCTCCCCACCAGTCACCGCTCCCCACCAGTCACCGCTCCCCACAGGAATTCCCCCTCATCCCTCTGATCCTCCAGCAGTGACTGGAGGAACGGATGGGGAGGGGGCGGCCCAGCTGGCTCTGCCTCTAGAAAGGCAGAGCCAGCTGTCAATCAGGCAGCGGGATGGATCTCGACAATACTGTCTGGATCTGTCCCAGCTGCAGCACGCCTCGGCGCTGTCAGCATATATTGGGCAATAGCCTACTATATGCTGAGTTTTGGGTCACAGGAGGACATTAGTGTGTGTCCTCCTGTGACCCTAAAGAGAACTATGGCAAAACAAAAGTTTGGGCCATAGTTCTCTTTTAAAGCCAATGTCAGAGCAAGTTCTGACCCCCTCCCTCCCCCCATTCACAACCTATTTTTTTTAAATACATCGTCCAAAGGATTCTTTTTACTAACCCAAGTCTGCCTTCACCTGACCCTCGTTGGAGTCTCTTCCAGGATTGGGAACCAATTATTTACTGCTGCAGTCTGGGATGGCTGCCAAACAGTCTTGTTGAGCCCCCCCTTGATATGACATCATTGCTCTGCAGTCTTCTGGAGCCTAAGAGAGCCTCATTGCTGTCCATGTTACACAGGCAGCGATATTGGCACCTAAAGGAGGACCCTCCCACTCTGCAGTGAGGAAGAGAGGACTTGAGTCCCAGTGTGTCACAAGACCAACAGTTATTGATCGATTATTTTTGGAATGTTCTCTTTCTGGAGTTGAAATTGAAACATCCTGCACCCTAACAACCAGCTAACACAGACTAGAAAGCCTTGTCCAGTTTCTGTTTGCCCCGGTGCCCCTTCCTTCTTGCCCTGACAGGAGTGGTAGTGGGACTAGAGCATTCCAGAAATTTGCCATTAGACTCCTTGAGATGATCAGATTTTGTGCATGTACATCTGACCAGTTCTAATGACTTTGGCAGCCGATGAGATCAGATTTTATTGGTTACTAGCCAGCGAATAAACACTGTTACCGCTGCAGACTGCGGCAGCTGATGTATCTTAAAATTGAAACAGGCCGCTGGTTTAATATCCTGAATTCCTGAAGATACCTTGACATTCTAAAGTGGGCGTCCTTTCCTGGCTCTCGTTTTCTAGAAAGCGTCTCTAGCTGGAAATATTTTGGAAACATCCCCGGTGCTTTTACTAATAGTGTCTGACAGAGGGCAGTGACAGAAGGTCCATTCACGGAGAAGGAGCTCGAGAGACGGATTAGGGCCCCTGAAAAAAGTCTCCAATTAGTCACTGGGGGCTTTCCGTGCCCTCTCTAAGAGGCTGCAATTTAGGGCCTTGGCCTCTGTCTCTCGCCTTATTGTGCTTGGAAGGATGAATCCGGGTCCCCAAAGGACGGTGGTTTGGAGTGATGCCACAGAGCAGACGGAGGGACCTGTAGGCAGCCATCTATCTTGTTTTCTCATTGCTGGCAGTGTGCCATGTTGTCCAGCACAAGGTTTGTGGTTTGGGGCCCCTCCAGCTCACACAGCCTGTTTACTTTGGATAAACAAGGTGTTTCTGGAGGTCTCTTGTGTGTGCTGAGTCTGTAGTGAGCTGCACGGGAAGTTGCTGCAGTGAACTTGGTGGAAGTCTCGTCTTTTGAACGCCAAAGTGTTCATGTCTCCGAAAGCCTCACAGAGGGACTAGACCCCTGGACCCCTTTTGCTTCTGAAGTTTGTTGGATTTTTTTTCTTTGTAGTTACAGCCGAAGGTCTGCATTTACAGCATACATTATAGCATAGAAAGATTTCTTAAAGGACAACTCCCCTAAATGCAAATTACTTCAAATCTGACCACATAATATTACTCTAAAGTCAGTCCAGGTCAAAGAAAAACCCTTTCCAACCCTTTTTTAAAGTATATGTAAACCCGATCATTAAAATCTCAATTAGGGTTTTACTTTAATGCCATTTCAAAAGTCATTTTCAGTATTTTAAAATCTGCAGCTTTCATTAAAATAATCCCTGGTGATGCTGCCATGAAGGTCCTTGTTTTTACTCTTCCTGTCATGGGATGACCTCACTCTCTCCCCATTATGTACCTTCATTGTCACCTTGTCACGTGGGCTAAAAGTGGCCATTTTTACACACATTAAGCAGGCCTGTTCCACTGTTTTCCCCATTACGAAACCCTCCCTGGGAAATGCCATGCAGCCGTTGCTGGAATGCATGTAGATATGATCTGGCTGCAAGGAGGCTGCAGGAGATCAGCACCACTGAGGCAATAAAGATTTTTAAAAGGTGATAACCGTCATTTATATATTTTTTAAAATGCAATTCCATTTGCATTAGACATTTAGAAGTTTTGGAAAAAATACATGTCTACATGTATATAAACAGAGACGCCTAGATCACTAGTAAGTCACTGATATAATTAGAAGGTATTAGGATTCAGAATGTGCTCGGTCCACCAGACCAAAATGCAACAAGAAGAGAGAGGAAACACCCCAAGGTGGGCAAACACCCACAACTGCCTAGATCAAATCCAGAAGCTGAGTTACAGAGATCTTGCTGTAGGGGTCACCAAAAGTTGCACTAAATGGCCAAAAGTCTGTGGACACCTGACAGTCGCACTTATAGGAGCTTGTTGGACATCCTATTCCTAAACAATGGTCATTAATATGGAGTTGGCTACCTTTACCATCTATAGCAGCCTCCACTCTTCTGGGAAGATTTTCCACAAGATTTTGGCGTCTCTGTGGGAATGTGTGCCCATTTCTGAGGTAAGGTGCTGATGTTGGATGAGAAGACCTGACTCAAAATGCGCATTCTAATTCATCCCAAAGGTACTTAGCACGGTTGAGGCCGGGACTCTGTGCAGAACACCTGAGTTCCTCCACACCAAACTGTTCAAACCCAGTCTTTATTCACAGTCATGATGGATCAGTTCCTTTGCCACAGTTTTACTACTAAGTTGAAAGAGCACAATTGTCTAACATATCTTTGTGTGCTGTTGCATTAACATTAGGCATTTCTAAGCTGAACTCAATCATTTGGAGGGTTGTCCACATGCAAAAGTTTAGAGACTGATGATTGGTTGCTATATTGGGGAGAAAATACACAACTAACTTCCTGTCCCAGTATTTCATTAGAGGGCAGAATGGCAGCCCAAGCCTCAAAAGTTTTTGTTCTGTCCCAGTTAGCATTGCGGGTCTTTATTTTTCAAGATTAAGATCAGTACTTTTCTTTTGTGTTCCATCATGACAGAAAGATTAATGGAAGTGTTGACAGATTGTTTTCCTGTGAGATCCCAATGCTGGATTAAGCTGCGATGGACTTATTCAAACAATAGGAAAAGCTTGAAGGGGGCTTTAAGTACCTAGCAGAGCTTTGGTGTTCATTCTCTGTCCGCTCTCTAGCTGTTAAAAAAGACTTACTGGACTCTCAACAGTTTTTCAAAGAATTCCGCAGATTCAGAAAACATTAATCAAAACCTGTACACCAAAATGATCTCAATGAAGTGAGCAACAATTAAATATTTTGCCATTGTTTAATGGGAATATCATTTTAGGATGAATGGCCGTTGGTTTTGGTTTCAATAATAACCAATATGGGTTTTGTTTGCAATTGCTTATTACTCTACTCTAAGCAATCACTTATAATGATCACATCCCTTCAGAATGAGTGTCTCTGAAAATGCTTTTTTCCAACATGTTTGTTTACTGGTTATCAACGATCTAGAATTTTTGGATTGTCAGCCACATTTTCATTTATGAGGCAGTTCAATTGCTTTTGAGTGATTTGCCAAATATTGCAAAGTAACAACTGGTTCTTCTCTGGTTCTTGGGGATGTGGTATGCTGACTGTAGTGTCAGTCCAAACTTATTAACTTATGCAACCTTAACCACCAAGACATCAAGTGTGAGCTTCCATTAGAATTTCTTCCCATTTGCTGCTGTGACTCCAAAACCAAATTTTGGCCTTTTCACATTATCGTGTTTAATGTGTGTTGAGGTGTCGGATCACAGCATTCTAATAGCACATGAAAACTAGTTTCCATCACTTATGGAGCTCCTCACATCAGCGTGTTGCGTTTTTGAAAAATCCTGCTCGCTGGATCTTTTTTGTGTTTTTGTAAACATCCATTACAGTATACTCAATGGAAAAGGCACTAAAACACAACATACATTTTAGCGCATTTTTGAAGACGAGTGTCCATATTTCTAACACACAACCCTTCATCAAAAAGAGACAGGAAATTATGAAAATGAAAAGAAAGCACATGCAAAATGCACGTAAAAGGTGTCTTACGTTGCAATACAGTTTACACAAGACTTTGAGGACAGCGTACATTTTCTAGTATGATGGTGTGAACAGGCCCTTATGTTATCCAACTCTTCCCATCCAGAATGAACATATCAATGCCAGGTGGAGTTAGCTTTAAGTTATGGCAAGCAATAATTTGCATGCCATGCTAGAATTCCCCATTTAATCCAGGCAAAGGCTTCTGTGTGGGAGACCCCAAGCTTTATTGCTTCAATATATTCCATGCCAGGCCAGCCTCCTCCTCACGCAGCACGCCGGGCGCTGAGCAAAACTTCTTGAAGATCCAGTTTAATTTCATAGCCGTCGTCTGTAGGTGAACATCAAACGAGGGCCGTTTCCTGAGCCGAAGAGCCGCGGCGCATCTAGAGAGGCTCTTAAAAGACTTAACACAAACCATTTCCTTCTGGTAATAATAGAAAAATACTCACAAGCTTGTAACACAATCCCTCTGCCTCTCCTGGAAAGCTCTTCTCCTTAGAAACCCACTCCACGTCCACCATCTGGATTTAATTTTGTCTCTCCGTGCCGTTGAGACTCTGGAGTCCAGGCTGCAAGTCCGCCAACACGGCTGATTGGAGCGGACTTCTGGGCAAGTGGCCGGAACTGAAATGGATCATTTGGGAGCGAGGAGAGCTAAAATAAAACATTTGTTTGAGCCACTTGCTGGCCTGTGATTTTGAACACAGTCATTAGGTTGTTTAGTACACATTGCTGTATTTTGTTAAAGCTGAACTCCAGGCACAAAAACCTTTATGTAAATATGTTTCTCATTAGTCACAAAAAATCTAAATCCACTTTGTGTGCACCAAATTCCTTTGCAAACCCAGAAATTACCTTTGTAAAATTAGTAGTGACTTCATCACTGTGCTGTACATAGCCTGCACAGAGAGCAGAGCTGTGGGAGGGATCCAGCAGACTCCACCCACTACAGGCTGCCTGCAGAAAATGACATGAGGGGGCGGAGACAAGACTAGTCACCCTGCACAGGAAGAGAGCAGCAGTGACCGGTCTTTATTACAGGAAACTGCTGCACAAAAGCAAAGTTTCATGTTGGATTACTGCAGAAATCTGTAAGTAATACACAAAGCACACCAAGATTTAATTATGAATATACATGCGTCTTATATTTAGACAATATTCGATTATCCCAGGGTTCAACTTTAAAGTGTATCTATAACCAATACTTTTTTTTTTTCTTCTGTATTAAGTAGGGAACGATTAGAACTCCCGTGAGGTTCTTTTTTAATGCCTTTACTTTCACTTCCTGTCCCGACACAACAGGAAGTGAGGGGAAATCCAATTCCTGTTACCAAATCAGGTTTTTCCATTGAAAGATTCCCCATCACCTACTGTTCTGGTGACAAGTGTAAAATTGTGGGATTTGCCATCATTTTCTGTCACAGTGGACATACAGAGAGCAATACCAACCCGACAGAGGTTTTAAAGCCTTAAACTTGTTTTTAAAGATAAAAAATACATTGTCTAGCATGTGTGGAAAAAAACCTTGCCCCCCGTTTGGTGCTGTCCCCCAAAGAGTCACCTTTCTGTGGTATGGCACTGGATCACAGAAACGGTGGCACTACATTGAAGGTCAGCGGTCTTCTGTTGACACTGCAGGTCATCTCCCTGTTTGAATGTCCTCCTTCGGGGGGGGGGGAGGTCCCTGTGCATTTCACAAATGTCTGCAGGGTTCAGCCCCTGCTGCAGCCTCTAACCTTGTGATTTGCCGTAAAGTTACAGTGTTGCAGTCTGATTACTGGGGCAGAAGAGACTAAAGCTGGGTTCACACCTAGGTGTATGGAATATGCGCGTTTGCCGCACGTTTTTACCGCAATTTGCTGTAAAAGTAACGCGCATTTTCGAGGGCTATCCGGCTGTATCCTACTGGATACGCACGGCAAATATGCCCCAAAGAAGCTCCTGTACTTCTTTGGGCGTAGGGCGTTTTGCAGCGCGTTCCTACGCGCTGTAAAACGCCCAGGGGGAACCATGCCCATAGGCAATCATTGGTTTTCACATGTTGAGCGTTTTACAGCATGTAGGAACCTTAGGAAATGCTTCCCCCTGCCTGCAGCAGACTGATGAGATCATCTCAGGCTAGGCATAGCCACTTGACTGGAGCTCCAGGATGGCTTTTTAATGATGAAAGGTGAAGCTTTTCTGAACAGTGATACTGTGTCTGTATTTTGTGACCTGTCAGGAATTTATTTTCATATACGGTATCTATTTATATAAAGTTACTGAAAGATCCATTTTAATATGTTAGACATTAAAACTTAAGCTGTAAGATTTGTGTTAACCAAAAAACATTGGGATGCGAGAAGCTGAAAAAGAATCGGACATGTCTGTGCTCAGTTTGTTATTTCTCATCATGGCAAAAAGAAAAGCATAATTCATGAGTTTCGCTTTAAAAGCTACATTTACTAACAGCTGCAAACTAACCTTCTCTGGCTGCACATCCTCCTGAAGACAAAGCATATCTCCTCTAACTTGACTCTCCTGCACCTGCTCTCTGTCTTCTGCTTCTAACCTCCTGACATCTGTGTCCCTTCACCTGGAAGACTAACCAGCATGGCGTATGTCAGAGCACTGACCATGCAGACACCAAGGGGGCAAGAGGAAGTTGGAGATGGTGGCCTTCATGCTAGCTTTTTTCCTCTTCATTCTGATGTACTTTTCCGTCTTTGCAACAACATAAATGGAGTCTCTGACCTCTGTTGCACGCAATAACACCTGACTGTCTTCACCGCTCTTCTGCTCTTCATCTCTCTCCTGCTTCTCCTGAGCATCTCGGGACTTCTGCTTCTGCATCTTCAAGAAAATCTTAGGCGCAAGAGTCTCCCCCTTCATCAAATCTCCCTTCCTCTCCTCAGGACGTCATGCAGCAGAAAGATGATCGCATCGAAGAGCTGGAAGAGGCTCTGCGGGAAAGCGTACAGATCACCGCGGAACGTGAAATGGTTCTGGCCCAGGAGGAGTCAGCAAGGGTCAACACTCAGAAGCAGGTCAGCTGCTGTATTATATTTTTTGGGGAACAGATATTGTGCCCTTTCAAGAATTGGCATCAATGTGAACTCCAGAATGATGAGCTGTGACAGGCTTGTTCTTCCCAGTAGATATATAAATATTTCAAATGATCTCCTACCTTTTACCTCTGAAGCATATGAAGTGTTAAAGGGTCTGTATATGATGCAAGCAGCCATTGCCTCCTGGTCTGTAGGTTGGGCATTATGTTATTTTTTTAATCAAAGAAGTGGTTTGATAAGAAGCCTCAAAACCAGTACATTCATCAATATTTCTATTATTTACAGGTTGATCCATCATGTTATTTTATAAAGAACCTAACTAGAGCTGCACCCACACTGTGTGCCTCCTATGGGACCACCAAACACTGTTAATTCAACAAAAGTTACAAAACAAGAAAAAATAGCAGCTGTGATAAAAAATGTAAACATGTATAAATCCATAACTGACCAAGTTAAATTTGTAAAACCCTAACACATCAAATAATTTATAACCATTACTCATAGGATTTGTATAAAAAAAACAAAAACATACACTATATGGGCAACAGTTTATGAACATTTGACCATCATACCTATTGTATGGATGAAAGTATGTAATCCCTCTTGCAAATGATTGAGTTCTGGTGTTTCCCATGAAAGGGTACTGTTAATGCTGAAGCATGCAAACATGCACTTCCATCCTTGTGGCAACAGTTTTGGGAAGACCCTTTTCTATTCCAGCATGACCAAGACCCCTGTATAGAAAGCCAGCTTCACATAGACGTGGTTTGACCAGTTTCATGTGGTGGAGCTCAAGTGGCTTGCACAGATCCTTAACCTTGATACTGTTGAACACCTTTGGGATGAATTGGAACAATGCTGATCGGTCTTCTCATCCAACATCAGTACCTGATCTCACAAATGTTCTTTTTGTGAGAGTTCCCCTCAGTAACTGTCACGGTGTCATGGTTTTGCCAGACAGGAACACATAAAAAAACTAATAAGTGACCAAGTCTTCCCTCTACTAAAATAAAACATTTTTTTTACTGTCTGTGTTGCTGATGAGACATTTTCCCTTCCTTCCTTTCTGGTGAAACTGTTGTTACCAGGAGGGTAAGGGAGGGGAACTCTCACTTAAAGCGGACTTTTACACTCAAAAATCAAATTCTACCAATGCATCCCTCCTATGTATGATTATTAATAATAACAGACATGTCAGGTGTATAATGCTGTGATTGTGAAATACTTACACTTGCAGAGCATTCACTTCCTGCTTTGAAAGGCTAAATGACTTCAGTTTGCCAAAGCAATGCACACTGGGGTTGCCTTGTCATCACCAAAGCATTGCTGGGAAATCTCATCTGTAATCTCACAAGATCTCAGGGAAAGGCATTTTTCTCCCCTGAGATGATGTGTGCATGGTCACATGTCCCAGTCACATGTCTAGTCACATGTGCCAGAAATCCAGGAAGTAAATGGAGAGCTAGCAATCTGTCCTTAGTAAACACAGCCATTGTCAGAAGACTGGGGAAGAAAAGAGAAATAAGGTATGCAAAGAATACAAAGCCTGCAATCATCTAGAAGTATGTGTTCGTAGATTGTCATAAATGTGTTTGTTGTTATTTTAAAGATATGGGTAAAGATCCACTTTAATAGAGCCCCAGACGGCAGACAAACTCAAGAGGTTCTAATCCTTCCACACTGTAATAAGAACTAAAAGTTTTGGCTGGAGATACTTGGCTGCTCCTATGACATCACTGGCCCGCTGGTTGAAGCACTGCTGGATCCTGTTCGCAAGAGATGGAGCAGCAACAGACCTATTCCATAGTAACAGATAATTGTTCTCACTGCTCTCCTTATCACTAGTATAACATGGCCTGAATGCAGTAAGGAAACAATCACAGTGCAGTACCCCCAACGTGACCAGCTGGGGAAAAAAAAAAGATTCTGGAGCCGTCTTCAGCAAACCAAACTAAAATCTGATAGGTGGCTGTGCTTGCAAATACTCATTACCCTTTATGGTTTATTGATTAAGCAAAAAAAACATACTGTAGACTCAGAGTCTACATGGAACCAAAAATGTAATTTTATTTAGTAACTAGGTGTTTTATTTGACTTTTGAGGCCAGATTGCCAACGGTTTTAAGTCAAATCAGCACTGCAGTTCAATCTAGAAGTTGCTCATGGCCTAGTTAAGTCTCCAACTTGAATCTATAAACTCAAGTAAAAGCAAATTTTTGTTAACACTGGCCAACACTGAAATAGATGTGTTCCTTGCTTGCCTATCCTACGCCCTTAAACTTATAAATGAAAAAGAAGCTGTAAAATATTTACTGTGCTACAGAACCCATTTTTCTGAGCTGTCTTAATAGCTCATTGTGTCACCAAACGCATTGGTCATATGATCTCTGCTAGTGGGGGTTAGGCGACTGACATTTAGGTAGATCTGTCCAGTTAGGGCCTGACCTTCCCCTTCAGCTAAGATCTCATAACCGGTGCCTAGACATTTAGTTGTATAACTAGTATCAGTAGGAACCCAAAACACACGTTTATGCAGCCAAGTCAAGTGTTTTGCCACTCCTTTTTCCATGTATACTCTTAAAGGGACAAGATAGGCAGAATGAGGATGGAGGTAAGTTTAGGTCAGCTTTACAATTGTAGTCTAAATCTCCTTACTGTATTTACAATTTCCTTGTAACTCTCCAGACTTGCTATTTATTGAAACTCCAGCCCAAAATCTAAAGTGTGAGATTTGGATACAGCAGGGAAGGATTAGAACCTATAATATGTTCTTCTTGTTCCTCACATTTCCTGTCCCAGTGAGCCCAGAGGATGTGAAGGCCAAACTATCACAAGGGCTCAGACGGCTATCTAAAAGGGATTCTAACCATACCTCAATCTATTCGTGACTACTCAAAAAGAATTATGGCTGCATTTCCACATTAAAGTAGGTTTAAACCCAATCACGAATATCTCATACAAGCTTTAAAGGACAACTGTACCTTTATTACTAAAGGTACAATTGGTCTCTAATTAATCCCCCACCAACATACTTCTCTTCCTTCCCAATCTAGGACAAATCACTATGCGGCCCTGCCTGCCACCATAGGCCTTTCTTAATGCATTTGTACAACGCAGCCTCAATCTTCCAATGTATGAGCCGTCTTCAGCTGGATTGCTGGAGACCGTTAGGAGTAGGTTTCCTCCATAGGAAAGAATAGGGCCACAGCACTCGTGTGAATTAAAAGTAGGACAGCAGTATAGTTGGCTATACAAAACATGTGACGTGTTTCTTCAGTAAACGAACCCTTGGATTTATTTCATCCTGTGAGTGCTGGTGATCCTCATTGTTGCTAACCTTGTATACGCATGGCGCCATCCATGGACATCACTACAAGCACCACCGCTATTTCTAGCACTGCTCTGGATAGCTGTATGGTGTGCAGGGGACACCTTTTGTTTACTGATTTAAAAGTATATATTTAGCATGTACTGTCTGTATTATTGTGTATGAAGCCTGATGACATTACAGTAATAAAATTAAGAGTGTTCAATTGGGCTTTTAGCTTAGCTCAGAATTTGGGGCTAATCCCTTCACAATTTTGGTCTGATATAATGGCATGCTTCCCTCCTCTCTTAAATCTTCTGCCTGCCTGAAGTTGTCTTGTGAATTGATGCATGATGCCAGCCCTCCTGCCTTTCAATGGTGCAAGGTATGCCAAATTCCCCAGTGATTGGCTACCCCCTACCTATCTGTCCCAACCCCCCAGTACCTACCAATCCTTGTGTGAAAGGATTTGTAAACATGACCCAACTTTACCACAAAACTCTTCTGTCCCCCTCCTTGATCATGTCCCGATATTAATTTTTGCTTTTACATTGTTCCAGTAGCGTGAAATATCTATAACCCCCCACCCTCCCACCCAATGACGTCATTACTGGGCTTGTAAAATTCTTGCAGGGTCAGCTGCTGGGAGGTCGTTTCTACTGATGTATGTGTGCACCCAGAACTACATCTCTCAAAATCCCTTTCCATACCCACACTATATGAACAGGCTCTTGAGTGCCAAGACAGTAGCATTGTTTTACTGGAAAATAAATGAATGTATGCATGTTTAAGGGGTAAGGGACAGGTGGAGTTCTTTAGTCTAGCAGGTAAGGCTGGCAACACGGCTTGGGATTTGGCAATGCATTGTCAACTGAAACAGGAAGGTAGGAGCTCATTGGATTCCGGCATATCAACAGGTATTGAACATACTTTAATTACCCCGTAGACAGGGATCCATATGTTGCATATCATTCAAACATGTTAAGCGGCGCTATCACCCAACAAGTAAACAAATATGTGCAAAAGCCAAATATTATAGTGAACAATACTATTGTGAGAGAAAATCAAAAATAAATAAGAAATTAAAAAATATGTATATATAATAATAATAATAGCTTCCTGATGAAGTCATTTAGACGTAACCAGTGACGTCAGAACGCTTGGAGAGATAGAGGAGTACAGATCTGACATCCAGGAATGTGATTCTGATGTACGATTTTATTCATTTTTATGTGAGTGTAAAAAATGTTATAAAGACCCTTTTTTTTTTTTGGACACTTTTTTTTCCAATTATGTGTTTTACACACTGACACAGGACGTTTGCTACTTTTATTAGTGATTTGGAGTTTTTTTAGATTATCACCTTGCGATTTACACAAACAGTTGACTAGAAGATTTAATTTGGAAAATATTTGAAAAATATTATAAATAATTTTTTTAAATATATTTTGTTTTTATTTTTTATTTTCTCTCACAATCGTATTGTTCACTATAATATTTGTTTTTTGTACATATTTTTTTACTTGTTGGGTGATACCGCCGCTTCACATGTTTGAATGATATTAATGCAGGCTCATGCAGCCAATTTAAGCGAGCAAGGAGAAACGCCCAGTTTTCTTAGATTAATCGAGCGCAGAAGTCCCTGTAGATAATTCATATGTTGCATATGTTGT